AAAGATCTCATAATATAAACTCTAGAACAAAAGAACCTAACCATCATTCATACTTCTACCCCCTCCAAAGAAAAACCCATTCTCAGTTACAACTGGGAATGATCTAGGAACACATGCTCTTTCTCTTCCTACATCCAGAATTCCCAACCCAAAAGAATTTTCAAAAATCTACCAGTGTTGGTGCTGAGTGCCTTGAGTGAGGGGAGCCCTCAAGTCTTTAGCAGCTAGGGGAACTGAAGTTGGGGGAGTCAAGAAGTGACTTTTAGGAGATCTTCCTTGGAGGGGTATGGAAGGGGGCAGGAATATTTCTAGAGGCAGGGTCAGGGCTCCTATAGAGAGTACTCTTATTGGGACATGGTAGGGGTGGGGATGGGAGGTAGGGTCTTCCAGATATGAAAGGATGGGAGTTTTGAGGGAAGGAAGGTCCTCAGCAGGAATGGTCGAACTCTGTAGAAGCGGTCACTTAGAGGTTTTGTACGTATGTGATTAGTAGGGGGAAGGGAGGGCAAGGCCACAGAAAGACCATACATGTGTTTGGGTGGTTGGTAAATGGAGTACAAGTAGGGAACAACCTGTACTCCCTTAAAAATACCTTTGGCAGGGATGTGAACTGAAAAGAACCCTGGACTTGGGAGATAGGTTCAAAGAGCACTAGACTCAAAGCCAAAAGGCGCTGACACCGACTAATTATATGAATGTGAGCAAATCCCTTAACTCTTCTGAGCCTCAGTTTCCTTAGCTATAAAATAGGGATGAGGGAATCACAGAATTTATAGCCAGAAGAGATTCCAGAGAGCAGGACTGGTGCTACCTTTCCTCATAGAGTTATGAGAAAAAGATGCTTTGGAAACGTAGATGAACTGGAGAAATGGGTTATTGTACTAATGATATTGTGATTGTTTGGCACTAAGGAAAAAAGATGTCCTGCTATTCCCTCAGCAATCTGTTCATTAAATTAAAATTTATGAAGTACCAACTATGTAAAAGACCCTGGGCTAGGCACTTGGGGAAAATGACTCAAGTCCCTAACATCAGGGAGGTTATATTTTTATATGTTATTCCTTCACCCTTGTACCTGAAACACTCTTGTTTCTTCTTGACATCATTATTTAGCATTAGCTGAAAACTCACCTAATCCTGAAAACTTTTTATGACTGATCAAATCTGATCCTACACTAAATAATATAGTTCATACTTTCTTGGCTGAAGACCATACCTCATACTTTACTAAGAAAAAGGAGACCTTTTGCCATGAGAGCTCTCTGTTCCCTTTTTCTTCTTCTCAAAACCCCTCAACAATATTCCCTATTCCCTCTTCCTTCATTCCAATTTCTGATGAAGACAGGGGTCCTTCTACCTTCCGAGGCCAACCCCTGTAACTCTTTTTGCTCTGTACAATGCTCAGGTCTCAAAGGTAAGGTCCATTTCTTTTATTTCTTTTTCTTTTTGGTGAGGTGATTGGGGTTAAGTGACTTGCCCAGGGTCACACAGCTAGTTAAGTGTTAAGTGTCTGAGGCTGGATTTGAACTCAGGTCCTCCTGACTCCAAGCCAGAGCTCAATTCATTGTGCCACTTAGCTGCCCCAAGGTCCATTTCTTTGTATCCTCCTGGTACCCATTGCAATGCTCTGCAGGTAGATATTCTGTAAGTGTCTCCCTATAGGCAAATTACTACCTTAAACCATGAACAGTAAGGACAGGTTTCCCATCTCCCAACCCATGGCATATATGAGAACATTCGTATTTTAAAAAAATAAATAAATAAATGCTAAAAGACCTGAGTTTAAATCCTGGTATTGCTACTTATTATCTGAGCATATCACTCACATTTTTAACTTAACTGGGCCTCAGTTTCCTCATTTGTAAAAAGAGGGGTTGGACTAGATGACCCGTAAGCTCTAAATTCATGATACAATAATTGGTCTTCATTGTGAGCTGAAGATGCCAACTTTTAGAGTTCTGGTTTAGTTGTTTTGTTTTTTTTGGGGGGCTGGGGGGAATATGGGGCATATTGTAAGGCGTATCAGGAGAAAACCCAGTTATACAACATTGTGCATACAGAAATAACTTGTCTATGATTGCAGTGGAAAACAGAACTAGCGTAACTTCAGTAATATAATCAAAGAAATACAATGCCTGTGGCTACTAGGCCAATAGCATCTTCTCCAAGACTGAGGTGCCAAGTCCAGCGCGAAGGAAGGCAAAGGATGGACCTCGTGGCCTTCTAACCATGGAGACATGTAGTTTGGACTGAGAGAGCCAGTGACGACCAAGGATGAATTTTAAATTCATTCAATTTTAAAGCTGTAGTGGAATCAGTACAAAACGGGAAGGGAAAGAAAATAAGGAGAAAGGCTTATTGACAACAAACAACAAAGACCACTAGGCCAGGGACACTAAGTGATTTCTTAGAGAACTCTAGCCTCATTAAACATTATAATTAGTGATGAAAGCAAAGACTGATGAACAGGAATCCATAGATTATGCTGAATTTAGAAGTGTTTCAATAACCACAGTAGCATAATTGGCCTCAAGAGATTATACAGATGGGATTAACGCAGAATGAGATTAAGGAGTGGGATAAAGATTGAATTTGTGATTTCCTTGGTATAAGACCTCGATATAAGAGGAAAATATCTTCCACCAAAGGCAAGTCAGCACTTTCCTTGTAATTTATAGTCTTAGAGCACTAAGTGACTGGTTCACACAGCCAGGATGTATCACTCAAACGCAGGTCTTCCTGGTTCTAAGGCCAGTTCTCTATTCATTATGCCAAGCTGTCACTTATTAGGATAAGGTTAGGTTAAAAAAAAAATCTTGGTGTCAGTCTGAAGTGTCCTGAAGTTTCTTTCAATCAGAGGCAAAAGCCTGGAGAGATACAAGATTTCGGCCAAACTAATGTTTATAGCAAATACCATTAATCTCTGAGTATGTGATATGATATTACCAGCTGGCATCCTCCAGGTTTGGGAAAACAAACAAAAAAGTAGCATTTGAGCTTATATTGAAGAAATAAACAGAATCAGAGATACCTTGGTAAAAGATTTAGAAAAACCCTGTTATGAATTGTGTACACACTGGATTAAAAACTGCCTTGATTTGTCTATACTTCTAGTTTATCTACATTCCCATAGATAAACAGAAGTATTCTTCAGTAATTCTCAAAGTGGAAGGTCAGGACAGAATGGCTAACAGGCTAGTTAAAATCAAAGGGTTCAGGGCTGTGTCATCAACACGAGAGGCTGATGGGAAGGAGCATTAACTCTTTACAAAAGAAAGTTACCAGTTAACCTAGCAGGTCTCAGCTCTTGGATACCAGGTTCTGGAGGAGTGTGGGCATGGCAGGAACCACAACCCCTGCCGTGGCGGTAGGCAGGTCATTACAGTCTAACTCAGAAAACAGATTTTCCTATTCATCCTCTTCAGTGTTCTGAGACAGCTTGAACTCTATTCTAGTTTCCCCAGAATAAAGTTTCCAAAATTAATCAAATATACTTTTTTTCTTTTCAAATCAAAATGTTCCTCTTCTGGGGGAGAAGAAAAATCCCAGAAATATCCCAGCGTATGAGAAGTTTGATTCTATTTCCAGACAGCATTTCCTAACATAAAGAGAAAAACATATTGCCCCATAATGTCTATGTTTCACTGAAACTCTGTCCACGAACTGCAGACTGTAACACATTAATCTTCTCTTCTCTATGTGTCTAAGACTGGTTTGGTTTCACACACCTTTTAACCTTAATCTTTTGCTTCCTAGGATAAAAATAATCCCAAGTAAAGATCTGTGATTCTGCTATTTCAATGATTCTTTTTCTAAATCTCCAGTTTCATTTTGGTGTGCACCCAGAATTTTCTTTCCTTGCTAAGTATATGGACCACATGCAGTTTTAAGACACAAAGCTTCAAGCACCATTCCGAAGCTAACTTCCCCTTAATATGGCAATGAGTGCTAGGAGGGTATTTCAAAGTTCAGAATGGGAATTCTTAACTTTTTTTTTTTGTGGGTTGTGGAGCCCGTTGGCAGTCTGGTGCTGACTGGATCCATTTGCAGGTTTGTCTCCTACATTCAGAACTAAAGGAAATACGAAATTTCAGTCCAAGGTTAGTGAAAATAAAGATTAAATTTTTTTTCTTCTTCAAAGTTCACAGATCATGGACCCCAGGTTAATAAGAATCTTGGCAGCTTACCAAGGCATGGGGCTCATAGCCTAATCTGCCCTGATTTGCATATGGCTTTGGACAAAGCACTGGGGGATACAGCTGTGCCAGAAACCCTAAAAAGAACATCACCCTAACACAAAGTGTTCCTCTTGCAAAGGTTTATGAGGACTATGCTGTTCTAAGATATATTTAGGAAGGCAATACCTACAGAGATCAGACCACATGGTTGTTCTCTGCCTAACACTAAGACCTGCCAGGACTGTTTTCAAAAGGGAAGTGAAGCAAGATATAGGTCTAATAAGACCTTGGTAAAAGGATTAGAAGTGTTTGACTAAAATGTGATATGTGTGTGTGTGTATGTGTATGATAGAGCAGTATTATAACTGCTCTGCTCCTTCCTTGATAAGACAGGAATAATACTATTTACCTTGTGGTAAACACAGTAGGGCCCACTGTTTGTCTGATCTCTGCAAAGAGTTCTGACATCCTCAGATCAAAGGAGGCACAGCCCACACAGTTCAGGGAGTGATGTGACACTGCCATGAGGTACACAGGTAGCACCATTATTCTCCCTGAACAGAGAAGTAGTCAGGTGTGTGCTCCAGAGAAGCGAAGGAGTCTAAGTAATCAAAAGAGAACTCTGAGCCCCTTGGGTCTGTATTCTCAGACATACAGGCCCTAGCAAGGTGACTCAGCAGGGGAACCAGAAGGTACACAGGCACAAATACCTCTAGTGAGCATGAGGTCAGTGTCACAGCAAAGAGAGCCCACGCAGGCACATCCTAAGCAACCGAGGAGGAGCCCCCTAGATAGCCCATCACACAAAGAGTGGAGACTTACGTTTTTCTGTGGCCTGTACTGTGTGAAAGAGCGTCAGTGGCCTCTCGCTGCAGGAGGGTGGCTTCGAGTCATTGCTTTTCTTCCAAGACAAGCTCTGCTGGGTGTTTGTGAGGAGTGCATCAGGCACAGTGTTAAATATCTGTAAAAGGAAGCGGTCATAATGCCGTGAAATGGGTGAGAAAAAATGCATACCTAAACCTATGTGATTTATAACTCAGGGAACCCTGGGAATTAGACAGAAGGGATCTCAGAAGACTACCAGGTCCAGTTCAGTTTCATGTGCAATCATCTTTTTTTTTTTGTTAATTATTATACTATGGAAAAGTTTGTATCATTCTATAAATTAAAAATAAAATAAATAAAAATTTAAACCCTTAAAAAATAAAAAAGACTATCAGATTAGATTTTTCCTGCTTCCAAATGAATAGATCTTGAAGACCTTTAGGAAATGAGATTATACATCCTCTCTCCACAATTTCATAATTTAATCAAATTTTTGTGTTTTTTTAATTTAAAAAAAATTTTAAAGTAGAAATGGAAAACAACTATGCATTATAAGCTTTCACAAACTTGAAGGAAATGACCGTCATCCCCACAAGCATCTCCTCTCCACATATTGCTTGATCAATCACTAAGCATTATTAAGCAACTACTATGTGCCAGGCCTTGGGAAGAGAAGTATGAAGAAAGAAATAATCCCTACTCCCAAGGAGACATATAAAACATATATAGAATAAATATAAACTTCCTCTCCAATTCTTCCAAAAACTTCTCAAAATATAGAGCACAAAATGAGACATTCTAAAAGGAAAAAGAAAGTCTGATAAACCCTGTTTCTCTCCAAAGTGTCTTTTGTCCATCAGTCTGTCCATGTTAAATGTCCTGAAAACCTTTCTAGGCTCTGAGAAGTGTGGAATAGTGCAAAGCAGAGGCAGCAAGCATACTGCCTATAATGCTCCCAAGTGTGGCCTGAACCAAATTAAAATGTAGTTGGGAAATATTTAACAAAATAAATAAAAATACAATAGAACATGGAAAACATTAATATACGGTTTTCTAAGTCAATATGTAGCCTGCAGGGAGTCTTATGTGTAGTTTAGTGCCCACCATCCCCTTTTCTATTTGAATTTGACACCATGGTGTAAAGAGAACTAGACTAGAAGTCCTGGACCTGCTTTAGAATCCAAGATCTGGCATTTATTAGATGAGGGACCCTGGGAAACCTGCTTTAACTCTCAGGATCTCAGTTTTCTGACTCATAAAATGGCAGCTAGGTGGTTTAGTGGACAGAGTGCCTGGCCTGGAGTTAGGAAGACCTGAGTTCAAATCAGATCTCAGACACTCACTAGCTGTGTAACCCTGGGCAAGTCACTTATCTTTTGTTTGCTTTAATTCACTGGAGAAGGAAATGGCAAACCACTCCAGTATCTTTGCCAAGAAAATCCCACAGATAGTATGGACCCTAGGGTCTCAAAGACTGAATAACAACAACAAAAACAGGAATACTAATACTAACACTCACAATGCTTTGCTCATTGGCTTGTTTTGAGGAGCTCATTTTGTAAACCTACATAAATGCAGACTTTTTTTGTTGTTGTGCAGTTGTTTCCATCATGCCTGACTCTACATGATCCCATTTGGTAGGTTTCTTGGCAAAGATACTAGAGTGGTTTGCCATTTCCTTCTCCAGTTCATTTGACAGATGAGGAAACTGAGATAAACAGGATTAAGTGAATTGCTGAGGGTCACATAGCTAGGAAATGTTTAAGGCAGGATTTGAACTCAGGCTTTCCTGACTCCAGGCTCTATCCACCATGCCACCTAGCTGCCCCATAAGCTATTATTATGATTATCTTAGAAGGGAGGTTTCTTTTCCCCCTTCATTTTCTCAGTAGTAACAATAATGAAAAATGTTGGCAAAGTGGAGAGTGAACCCACTTCCAAGTTAGGAAGATACCAGACAGACAGACACCACACACACACACATACACTGTAAACTGTGGGACAGGTGCAGATGTATGTTGTTAGAGAGGGTTAACTAATCAGGGAGTTCTCAAAACCAATGGAAGTCCTGCCTCCTCCCTCCCTCTCTTCACAACCCAAGACAAAATGGATAAAAGGGATAGAAAAAGGCACACTTGTTGCAAACCAACAGCAATGATTTCTGGTGGATGTGACCCCCTTATATGGCAAATTGTACCACATATTCTAACATTTCATAGTATTCTCTCATCAGACAGCATATATACACCCAACATCAACCAGAAACATCCAAAAGCTGATAGAGAAAAATAATTTTTCAGAGTTAGAAAAATTTCCCTCAGAACAGCTGTTCCATATAGGTTGGCAGGTTCTCAAATCCCATTAGTACCAGCCAGATTGTGAAATCATCCTGACTCCCAAACACAGCTGCCTGAAAATGGAATTAGCATATTTTTTCCTAAAAGGACTGGAATTTTTCAACAAAATGAACCGAACTAACATCAGTAGATTCTTACCTCTAAAAGTCTCCAACTAACATCCCCCCCCCCAAGAAAATGCAAACCAAACAAAATAAAATAACAAACAAAACCCCCAACTCCACTCTCAGGAGATAGAATTGGATAATTGTTTCCTAATGTGGCAGACACCTCAGGCTTCCAGTTCAGTCATTAGAAAGGGGGGAAAAAAGATTACTGGTCAACAGGTATTTCAGGAGCAATATATCGACCCTATCTTCCCCTCCAATTCCTTGTCATTAACATGTGCTTGCACCTGAACACGCTCTCATTTTCTACCTCTCAACCTGGGCACAGCAGTAATCAAATCAATAGCACCTTTGCTTCTGGAAGGAGTACGTCAATTGATTGTCCAGTATCTCCATTCACCACATTCATAACTTCCCACACTAACCCTTCACTGGCCAACACTCAGTAATACGACATGTGTTCCCCAATTAAAATATAAGCTCCTTGATTGCAAAGATGATCTCTCTATATTTGCATCCTGGTACTCAGCATACGACCCAGAACAATACTTTTTCAATCCCTTCATTTTCATTACTTCTACCCTCTTCATTCTTATTCTCCAAAGACTCCTGAATCACTCACTTACCCATTTCCCTAGGGTTGCTCTAATCTGTCCAGCTATCTACTCTCTCTTTAGAAATCCTTAATGATGCTGCCAAAGCTGAAACAGTAGTATCATCTTCGTTATGGAGTCCCTGAAAGCTTATAAACACTCTCACACAAGCAAACTCATTTAATTCTGTGATACGTGTAGGGCAGGTATGTAAAATAAATTTTATTTTGTAGATGATACAACTTGTTCAAGGTCACAGAGTTAATAAGTGAGAACACACCTGATTTCTAATCCAGGACTCTCCCTATATATTGCACTGTCTTCCTAAACAATTACTGACCTTTGATATCCAAGAGACACAATAAATGAGCATTTCTGTCAGCATCCTCTGCTCATGGTCTCAGACACATAAGCCTCGATAATTATTGGCCAGAAAAATTTTACATACTATGTTACTGTGTGGCAAAAGACAAGTTCTTGCTTTCTACAATGAAAGAACTGGGTATAATATTTTTTCGTTTCTTAGTCTTATGAGAAGCGTGGCATTTCCTCATCTTTATTTTTGCAAATAAAAAAAAAAACAACAGAAAACCAATGTACAGAGAGATGTAACAATGTAACAGAGAGATGAAATGATTTCTGCAAAGTGCCACAGCCTGTGAGTGACAGGTCTGGGGCTCACACCTTGCGTTATCTATTGCTCCTCAGCTTGTGTCATAATGTCTCTTTCTGGAGTTACAAAGAATGAGATGTTTTTCTCAGGGGAAATTAAGAAAAATCCCTCTCTAGGGAGTTCCCTATGCTGACTTTAGAAATACATTTGAAGGGGGAAAAAGTGTCCAAGAGGCATGTTCATGACACAATAGAATCCAAATCCCGACAATGAGTTCCCTGGTTTTCCTAACCGAGTACGCCTGACATATTCCACCAGCTTTAGCATGGTTTCCTGGAAGACTACTGGGACTGCCTTGAGCATATCCCTCATCTACTCAAATACCTTCATTAGGTCCCCACTGACTGATGGATAAAGTTTAAACTCCATTCAAGCCACTCCACAGTTTAGCACCAACCTCCATTTTAAGCCTGATGTCATATTTTTTCCCCTTCTAAATTCTACCCCAATTGGACAATTTCTCTGCCCCTGTTCTTATCCTGCCCTCTATTTCTGTATGTTTGATCTCTCTGTACATGGAATGGATGTCAATGCCTCTTAAGTTTTTGTTGAATTGAAATGAATAGGAATCTAGTGATGCAGATTCTAGACCAGGTTCTGCCATTTCAGTACACGACACTTGACTGCCTGGTTTCCATTTATTTGTCCACAGCATGTTCTACCTACTTTAAAGGGTTATTTTGAGTCTCAAATGAAACAATGTATTTGAAAACAGTGTGAAGAAGCATAAAGAGAAATATAGCTTGTCCCAAAAGTCTTAGTGCAGCGTTCTACTTCAATAGCTACTGACGAATGACAGCTGCACTACGACTTTTGGGACACCCTGTATATAAAGGAATCACTAGGTACCATGATTATTACAGGGTGTTTTTTGGGGGGGAGGGAAGGATGGGTCCTAAATATCTTAAATTTAAAAATTTACTGATACATTTTGTTTGAATGTTACAGCATACACTCTTTCACAAACCCATTCATGAGTATATCCCCACATAAACAGGAGTGACGTATCCTTTAATTTCTTACTGTATGGTACCAACACTTATCATTATATGTGACTAGGGTGTTTTTGTTTCTCTCAATATTTACTTTGTTTACCTTGTAGTCATGTCTATTTGTGGCATTTTCTTTGTACCACTTTATACAAGTCTTTCCATGATTTTCACTTACGTTGCAGTACTACTAACAGCACTGTGTTCGTACACCTTAATTTGCTCACTGGGAGCATACTCTGTTTCTAACTTTTTGCTATCACCAAGTTAATACTTTTATACCCAGGGTGTCTTTCTCACTTGTCAGTGACCTCTATGGAAGAACAGTTCTAGTGGCAGAATCTCTAAGTCAGAGGATATGAACAATTTGGCAATGTCTCTTGCACCATTTTAAATTGTTTGCAAGAATAGATGAAT